TGTTTCTCTTTTTGCCCGTGTTTCTACTTTTTCCCTTTATTTATCACTGCTTATCACTTTCTCTTTCTTTTTATCACTCTCTCTTTCTCTTTAGCTATTACTTTCTCTCTATATTTCTCTATTTGCGCTTTCGTTGTGTATCTTTCTCTCCGTTTTTTCTCTCTCTCACTCACTCTATTCTTAACGTGTGTGACGTACCCCACTGCACTCCTACTTGCTGTGGCGCATGTACTCTGCTGTGGAATTTTCGATGACTGGTCACAAGTTCTATACCGATAGCTCACACAGCTTCACCGTTAAAAACGCGGACTTTTTACGGGTCGCTTCATCTGCATGATCCAGAGATCTCCGGTACTAGCACATGCTGGTATACCACTTGGGTGTGCGCGATCAACGCAACACCAGAAATAGTCCGCTGATGCACCGTTCATGAAACCAGCCACTCGCGTCGACTTGCTGCGTAGTTGGTAATGATATTGCCGATATTGCAAGTGATTGCGGTCCGAAATCGCAAACTCCCTGCGGCATTCAATTCACTATTAAGTGGGTCTTGCTGGTACCATCAGGCTGGTACGCAGATGTAACACACGTACTATCACGAGCTACGTATTTGTATGCATGCAGAACATATGCACAAAAGAAAGAATTATTTTGTACTTTTTTTATTCACAGTCACACGGCGAAAACAGTGAGTCGTGACCAGAAAGGTGCAGCTGGGTCGTACTAAGTACACCATTTGTACAAAACATGGTTTCCCGTATTGAAAAAGCTATACTCGACAACGAAAAAAAAAATTGATGCTCACAACCATAACAATCGTGACAACACGTAAGCACACGAACAACAAGCCATGTAGTTATAAGCTTCGCTTTTTTTTTCTAACTTTTGGTCGATGCTCGAGACATTGGCGCCCGTGCTGATTCTAATCCTTTGCCAAGCAAGTGGTTCTTTGGTTGGATAGCTGCATGCGATTCTTTTGGTCTGAAAACCCTGCACGAAATTGACGCTATCATTTCCTGGTGTCAACTTCCAGAAAACTATCCCAAATGTCTTCAGTTGTGCATGAACATGAAGACAGCGTGAACACACTGAGAATGCTAATAGAGAACGCCGTTGATGAGGGTGGAAGTCAAGACGGTGACTTATAGTAGCGATATTCCGCTGTATATTTGCAATATCGCATCAGAATGCAGATTTTCTAGGACATGCGCGATTCCTGGTTATAGTTTAATTATCTAACGACCTGAGCTAAAAGGACTTAGAACACTGAATCGTAGTCTGGGTTAACCCCGTTTTCTAAGCCCTCAGTTCACTTCCTGTAAAGAGGTTGACTAGTATATCGAAGAAAGCAAAGCTCAGTTTTAACCCGAATCGTGGACACTGATGCTAATCTGTGATGACATGGATTTTGATATGCGTCTTGTAATTAGTCCGCCTTGGTGCATTATGTGCAGATTTACAAACTAAAAGTTCCGAAAAAACTGTATGCACGGATTTTTTTTTATTCATAAGCAAGTAACAGGCTGGTGAATTCGCTGAGGTTATCGGAAGTGTTTCGACGACCTGTACAGGTGACTTAAGGTGATCTCATCACTATGTTTATCTTCTTTCTGTTTTCATTTGGCTCAACAAACATCCATCCACTGTATCGGTTATGGTAAATTACTCGGTCATCCGAAGGAATGGCCATCTAACACTCTGTAACTGCGTTTATAAAAAAAGTTATGGGTCCCTGTAATTATTAAGACATATTCTATGGTACAGTATGAAGCAAAGATATTCATGTTCATGGAAAACGTGCTGCGGACGCACTGAAATTTTATGACGATGATAATCGTAGAATATAAACGATGAAGATGGTGTCAGATCGCAAAATAGGGCGTTGTGCGAACGCGGCGTATAGCGGTGTGCGTCAGCAAGCAACGAATGACATCACGTACAAAGCATGGTGCAAAACGGCGAGTATGTGGAAGTGAACGCAGACATCTGTGGCTCGCAATGTTGTTACGGAAGCACTACGATATGGCGACACCAGCGAAAATCTGCGGTAATGGTGCATCAAACGTCGCACAAGCAAGCTTTCAACATTGGCACATATACTGGACAGGTAGGTGCATTCTGTTTTTCTACACAAAGTTATCTGAACCCGACTGACAGCTCCTTCTCGCGATTAGTGCTCAATGATGGCGCATTCAGTGAAGTTAAACCTAGAGAAGCCCCATAACAACGATGAATAACTACTGCGAGAGCTAAACTTTCGTGCCTTTTTATACGAGGACACAGTTCTTTCACCTCGCTGATCGCGAAAGCAGCATAGCATTGATAAAACAAAAAAAATATTAATAACAACAGAACACCTGTTTAAGCTACCAAAGTTTTCTTCCAAGCCCCATTTTCTTACCTGAAAGTGGTTTTCCTCACCTAAAAACTGGGGCATGAAAATCGGACAAGGATTACGATACTACAAGCGTGTTTGGTGTGTTTACTGCGCATAATATCGCATTTGCTTTGCATGAGCTTTTCATTACATTTTAATGAGATGTCATCATTGTTTAACAACAAAAACTTGAATAGTGTTTTCAGAATATCTTCTGTCACAGAAAAGGCTTGTACGGGAATATCGATGTGGCATTACCAGTTTTCTTTCCTTTTTTTTTTGCGGGGGGGGGGGGGGGCGGGGGGAGGCTTGTTTACATACTGGATTATCAAATCTTTACTGCATAGTAATGCCAATGATCTTCTTTTTAGGAATTCTAACTCACTAATCTAGTTTAGCTTGAATTGAAATAAATTAGGCAATATGACTTGTTCAGACAATCAAAGTAAATCTTGAAAAATTGTTTGTTACAGAGCTCAATATATATTATGTTTCAGTACCTAACACGATCTAAAGCACGCTCTTGTACTGTGCACGAACATGTTTGCATTGCGCCTGCATTACGACGCGGCCACCGAGGGGGATTTCGAACCCGCGACCTTAGCAGACAAACATCACAAACCACTGAGCTACGTGTCATGACAACTGTCGTAGTGAACTGCGGTGTCCCTCTAAACTTTTGTTCCTCCCACATTGAAAGTGCGGCTAACCTATGGAACTCAATTCGGTGGTATGGACTTAAGCAATATATACAAATACTTCGTGCAACCCGTTAACAACGTCTTATAGCATGGCGAAGAATATATACCTTGGTTTTAAAAATTTTAGCAAGAGCAGTACAAAGGTCAAGTTTACGGTATAATGACTATTCACATAAAACGATTGACCCAATTACAATTGAAAAGCACGACGACCACTATTTGGATCGTTTGGCCGTGAAAACGCGTGTTCTGCTGGAACTTGCAAGTCCGGTGTCTTGAACATTTCAGAACATGCTACCATTAACAAAATTAGATTTCTTATGATGCGTGAAAATTGGCCTCATTAGAAATAGCATTGTATATTCTCTGATCTATTTAAATTTTGCATTTGTGCATTGTTTCATGCAGCCAGTAATGACGCATTCCTTGAAAGTCCAAAAATGCGATGTAAACGGTGAATGCGCCCATCATTATTTCGCTTACATGTTCAGAAAGCATACAAGCTGTTCAGGGGGCATTGTTCGTCAATGATGCGATAAACAATCATTAAGCTACGAGTCAAGTATAGTAGCCGATACATTTTCCTCTCGCGCTTTGATACGTGTCGATAGACCGAGTTTTAGGGCTCACTCAACAAAGATTCGGCGATATGAACCAAAGGAAGAAGTTTCTGTGCGTTATTTTCATACGCCCCTAACCACTGATTATACAGCACTACCAATTCTGGAAATTCTGGAGTGAGAACTGATATTGTACGAGTAGGCGCCAATGCATATAGTGTCTCAACGCGCATTTATGACGATGCCATGAAACAAGAACACATGTCATAGACACTTTTTATGCTGTTTTCCTTCAAGTGTCTGCAGCTCTACATTCGGTGTTCCTTGTCACTAGAACTCAGCTGAAAGTGCTGCGCTTGAGCTGCATTATTCTTGTGTATGATGCTGCCTAAATTGCGCTTTGAGAAGATGCTTAAAATGCCACAGCTTATGTAAAACCATGCCCACCATTTACCAGTGAATGTAGGGTGGTTGACTTTCGCTTTATACAGTAAAGCCAATGGTGGCATCATGGCACAGCCAGACATCCCATGTCGTATATTCTCTTTGGTAATTAGAATAAACATTTTGAAAACAAAAAGAAGCTCATAATTGTAGCGCCTATCTGTCCTGCCCACAGTTACAAATACCTCATATGCAGTTAATATACGGAGGGCATCTACAGTCATTTTCTCTGCCGAACATTGTAACGCATAAAAAGGATAATCATTCGGAGGGACAAGAAATCCTATATGTGGATTGATTCACAAAAAAATATTAATAAATAACCTTTTTTTTGCACCCGAAGAAAGCGTTAATTGTCTCGGGCTAAAATCGGGGAGTGATCGGCACAGAAAAGCATTTACTTAGGGTTTGGCCCTAGACAGACGTTTCTCCGGGCCGATCACTTTACCATCTGAGCTATAACCGAAGAGATGGCTGATATGACAGGCCTTCCTGCATATTAACACACCAGGAGGCACACGGAAAGGTATTTGTATGGGTTCAAATCTAGGACAAATTTTTATTTAGCTGCGAATGCTTTCCTTTCTCAAAAATCCTCATGAACAATGCTTGTAGTTTCGCACGTACTTAATAAAGACGCTTAAAAAGTAATTTCGCTCTCTCCTGAACCTTCAACGAGATTGAGGGCTTTCGCGAACTTGACATAATTCCCATTATCATCGAAGACTGTAATGGCTGCAATATAAAAATTTGAGTGTAAAACAAAAAAAACAAAGAGGGTTGAGAACAAAGAGTTTTTGGGTTATTCTCATCAGCGCACTGCTCTTGTGCCGGCAGATCCATGAACTTGCTTGGCTGTCGTCTGTATATAGGAACGCAGCTGAATCCACCACGTGCGAACGTGTACGGGGTTGATGACTAGGGGCTGACGAGCCTTCGGATGGAGAAGTCCTGCTGAAGCGCCATGGTCAGCGGTGGCGGAGGCAGGAGCGTCGGCTGGTGCGTGCACTGCTGGCACAGACCATTGACCACCAGCCGGCTGGACACAGGGAACTCGGCACGGCACCGCTGACACTGCACGTGGGGACAGCCTGCGCGACAACATCGTATGCATACGTTTCAGTTAACTTATTCACCACACTTACATAGCAATCTCTATTTTTCAATACGAGTCCTCTGTACATGGGCACATTTATACCGTCTTCCTGTGTGTTTGTCAAAATTTTAGCTTTGTTTTTTTCCCTTCTTCACATGATATATGTGCAATCCTGGTTAAAAAATCCCGGGCATAGCTTCCATGAAAATACATGTGGCCTGAAAACTTTTAACCCCCCCCCCCCCTGCACGTGCCAACACTCCCAAGGTTTAACCTTAGCAAGCTTGATCGCTTGAAGAGGATAAATGAAATCCGAGATTATTGATTTTCTGCGAGTCACCATGCATGCAAGCACTTGCGGAGAAGATCTCACGATGTTGCTCTGTATGTTTACAGCCTTTTATCATAACGCCATCAACTCGATACATCGGGATTATCGCAAGGCACTCAAAATTTCCTTTCACGACTGATCTATCTCTTACGAACGGTCGCCATACGTAATCCTTAAAAAAATCATGGCATATCTGCGAAGTGAATGATGATGAGTGCGCAAAGCAGTGTGATCGGACGGTGTTACCACAAAATAACCCGTGACATTGACAACTCACGCATGTAAATGAATGACAAAGTGGTGTGCAGTTATATTCAATCTTTATTGGTCATATATAGTTGGTATGTTGTGTTAAGTTGTGAATTTTGCTTTGCCTTCACCATTAATGCTTTGTGGTATCGGATTGAGCCTGAAAGGCGAGGTCTGACCGTGTTCCCCTGGTGGTTGTTTCCAGTCACACGAAATGCATCGTAGATCATCTACCGCACAAGCCAGTTGCTGTCCATGAGCATCATCGCCATATCTTCATCGCCATGATGGCTCTATGGCGCACACCAACAGACAAGCCCCGACCTTAAGGAACTTCGCCCGTAAAAGTGACTGCTGACCCGCCGTGGCTGCACTATTAGTGTTGAAAGCCTAAAGGCTTCATTACAGCGCGTCAGCACGTGCCATGATGCCGCGTCCTCTCGAAGCGTTCTCGGTTTAAAGAAGATGAAATTGGCGCAACGCGCTGCTGGATGCGTTGTTGAATATATATATATATATATATATATATATATATATATATATATATATATATATATATATATATATATATATATATATATATATATATATATATATATATATATATATAATATATATATATATATAATATATATTATATAGATATATATATATCTATATATATATACTATATATATATATATATATATATATATATATATATATATATTATACTAGTAATATAATATATATATATATAATATATATATATATATATATATATATATACGTAAGATGGTCTATGGTTTGTGTACATTTTTTGTAATGCAGTTATGCCGTCATCGTGAGGAATATTTGTGAGGAATCGTGAGGAATCTCATCTTTATCGACACTTACAATGCTGTACATCCGAACATACACTTCACACACACATACTTGTAAGTAACCGTAAATTTTCTTCATGTTACCATAACGATAGAAGAAGAGAAGCTCTCTACAACCCTATATCGCAAACCAATGGATGGACAACAATGCCTCCATTACCAAAGCGATCACCCGCGCCACTGTAAAAACAGTATTCCATATAGCCAGGCTCACCGGTTTAAGCGAATAGGCTCTAGAGACACTGACTTTGACACGAGCTTACAGAGGCTAAAACTTATGCTCGAGAAACAAAAATACCCCCCACATGTAATTGATGACACTGTTCAAAAAGCGAGAAAACTAAAGCGTGAAGACTTACTTATGAAGCGACCACCGAAATAAGACCCACAACGAACAAACCTCTGCTTGACTTACAGCACAAACTTCCCCAATGTAAACATAATCCTTAAACGACATTACAACATTCTGGAACAAAGTGAACGTCTGAAACGCGCATTCCCATCCGCTCCAGGCGTCATTTACCGACGACCACGTAACCTCAAAGACACACTTGTCCACTCTCAAATTAATACATCACCCCCAATAATTCATGCCGACCTTAAAGCCGTGTTTAAAGCCACGATGTCTTGTATGTAAGGCGATGCGCGAAACACACAAAGCAACCAGAACACAATCCAAGTTTTCGATTAAAATACGAGGAAACCTAACATGCGATTCCTGTAATGTGGTATACCTACTCGAATGCAACGTGTGAAGTATGCAGTACATCGGACATCAGAAACGCCATTTAGGATTCACTTCAATAATCACAGAGCCCATGCGAAATCAGCCCCAAGTCTACCTCTATCAAAGCATCTCTATCTTCCCGACCATGCATACGACAAACTATCAGTAACGCTCTTAGAGACGGGATTTAAATCAAATCGAGAACGTGAACAACGAGAATAATACCTTATCCACCGATTTAACACCCTCGATAGAGGAATATATGAGAATCCTGGCACACTTGTAGCAATTAATGCATTAGAAAACAGTAACGGCAATAATGAAAATAGTAACTGAGTTCACGGCACTGCAACTGCGAAGGGCCCTGGACAACTCAAAACAATGCCAAGTGTGACTACTCTTCCTAAGTACAGCTGTCGACTGTTTTCTATTTTTACTTTACTACTCAATCGATTTTGCCAAGCATGACATGCCCAACAGCAACCCTGTGCACAGTCGGGAGGCACGCGTAATCCAGAGGCGGGCAAGGAATTCGCATTGCAGCCGCTTGCCAGCCTCTGCGGCAATACGTGGCACCCCTCTTTCTATGACAAAATGTTGACGGGCGCTGAGTAGTTAAAGGCTTAAACTTCTTAAAAAAGCTCTTTTTGCCCCACACCAAACCGCCAGAGCTAGGAGGCGCCGCCTGGTCGGCAAGAATGTGTTAGTGAAAGGAAGGATACACAGACCGCAGAGAGCAGATAGGGGAAAAGGAGAAAGGTAGAGGGATGGAGGGGGATGTGGAAGGAAGAGTGGAAGGGGGCGCCCCGGGGGGGAGTGCACCTTATACTCTTTTTATCTTTTTTTCTTTCTTTTTTCTTTTTCCCTTTTTTTCTTTCTCTCTCCTCCTATGATTTGAGATTGTATAAACCTGAACACCAACAAACTGTACCTTCAATCCTGATGAAGGCCAGACTTTAGGCCGAAACGTCGAAATAAACCACGTTGTGACCGCTCACGGAGGATCTACTTCACTATATATATATATATAAGGGAAACAAGTGTATACTTAAAGGCTCGTTTTTGTGTTTTACACAATATTAATGAGATCTAACAGACAATAATGCCAAGAAAGGTATAGGGGAAGTTATTAGGCCAATTGTAATATATATATATATATATATATATATATATATATATATATATATATATATATATATATATATATATATATATATATATATACTTGCTGTTGAGCAACTTCAAACTTTATTTACATCTCACAGACACATGCGAGCGCAAAGAAGACAGAAAGGCTAAAGGGGAAAAAATGAGTATAGAATGAAATTAGACATCCCGACCTTTAGTTTTGTACTTCCTTTTTTACACCTTCGTTTCTTTTTTTTTTGTGCTATTGCATGTGTGTCCTTTGAATACAATCGCACCTGTACATAGGCGGTCACTTGTGTTACAATGTTTTTCGTCGGCTTAAGGAGGGAAGTGGCCACTATGGTTGCTGCACCTTTTTTTTTATTTCGACACCAAAGCAAACTGCAACGTCTCTGTTCACCAAGTGACCGAGTGCCCTCTGGTGATCTTGAAGAAGGGCCATGAAAAGAAAGGGGCTCATTGATTTAGGAAAACTAAATGACCGCAAAACTGGTCTTTGCCAGAAATAAAATTGCACCTATAATGGCGCTTACTCGCATGTATAAGTTACCCTCTTTGCGTGCATAGAAAAAGGTGTTTATTTGAACCGATTCACGCACATCTGTTCAGAAAATGCGTAATTGAAATGGCACCATTTTTCGCAACGGGTGTCTTGCAAACACCTTCATAACGAAGTGTGTTGGATATCAACAGTCTTGCGTTAAACACGACATTTCGTTAGATACATGTGTGTTTTACTGACTACAATAGCGTGGATAAACCTACTGAGATTAAAAAAAATGTTTACTCGCAGCAGTTTGTAATGGGTAATGATATAGTCACATTTTCGCCAAAAAAGCCAACCAATGAATGCGATAGCAACATATTCGAATGTTTCGCGAAGCAAGGCTAGCATATTTGGGAGAAATAAGAATTGTAGTAAACATGCGCTTGCTAAGTAACCAAGTTTCCTGATGCACGGCCATAGTAGATAACGACAAGGCTCGCGCGTAGTAACGGTGTTGATATAGGAAGTGAGGCTGGCAGTCAACTCATTTAGATTCAATCTGACGTAACTCTACAAAACGCTGGTATAAGAGAACACGGCCGCCTGAAGTAGACTTTTGGCACCATTTTTTTTCTGTGTTGACAGCGCAGTCCGTAGAAGCTCCTGAGTGTTGTGCGAACACAAGCGACCCTCCCCCCCCCCTCCCCATTTGTACGCTCATGAGATAAGCGCGTGCAGACGACCCCGGTTGGAAAGAGGATGTTCAATCCGCAGACAGAGGAGGCTGGTACATTCTTCTCTGTATATTCCCTGTATATATATACATACATATACATATACGTGAATGACGATGCACGATGACGGCAAAAACCAGCCGAGACTGTTCATATAACTGCTATCGCAATAAAACTACTTTTCTACATAACAGTACGACTAAACACTAAAAAACCATTGGCCTGACACCTTCACGGTTCACGGCACGCTGAAGTGCGACATTAGGGAGTCGTATCGACATACACCTGCGGCCAGTCAAATGCAGCTCCCACTCACGGCTGTAGTGAAAATGTCGTTTTTCCATGGTAGGCTGCAGTCCCCCGCAAGTGTAGCCCGGACGCTCAAACTCACATGCATCTTGCATGCGGCCTGTCCCTGCGACCGACGCTGGGGGTGACAACATACAAAGGTTACGGTGAGCCAAGAAAAAGAACATAAAATTATGAAATGCCTCTGCCTGTGCTACTCAAGTATATTATACAAGCTGAGGGTGCCGGAAATAAGGTCCGTCGTGGCTTTCGTCACCCCTACTTCATAAACTGAGATTAGAAACAATCTGAAAAGTTGAACTTATCGGGTGGAGGGTGTAATGCTGCAAAGCTCGAAGTCAACGATTTCATTCCCGGTAACGGCAGCCGCATTTCGATGAGTGTGAATTTCGATAACACCTTTCCTGCTGGAACACGTTATTGAAACTCGCTGAAGAAAAGAACACAACAACAAGAAGAAGAAGACAGCGGGCACGGAAGAGCACGCGATTTAGTAAGGGAATAATAAAAAAAGAAGATTTTTGCTTTTCGTACGAGCCATGGTGTGGAATCATCATCATCATAATTATTATCATCATCATTTACGTCATCTTCATTATCATCATCATCATCGTTCAAATCAAACACAGTCTGCGCTTGTCTAGTCTCGTTTCTGCGACGCAGGTTAAGAAAGCGCAGACGGTGAAAATCAATCGAATGTCACCCACTACGGCGTGCCTTGCAATCGTACCATATTCTGTCACGTATATAAAAGACCAGAACTTATCATTAATGATTACGCCAAACAACGAGAAAAGACGCTGTGGGAGGAGTGCGTGTACCTTCTTGATGCGTCTTCATGTGCGCACGCAGGTTGCAGGCCAGGGCGAATGTCTTGTGGCAGACGTCGCAGGTGTGCGGCCGATCTCCTGAGGAAGCGAGACAGAACGAACACAACGGTTCCCATTAAACACCGGGATTGATGAAGACCACGGTAATGGCACAGACATAAATATATGCAAGGCACAGATGAAGAAGTCAACAACACATAGTACAACCCCTACAACATTTAGCTCTATATAGCCACTCTAGCCACCTCTAGCCGCCTCACAGCTATATCTATAGCCACCTACGACATTTAGCTCTCCTGGACGTTTCGATATTGGTATCTATTCCAAAACTCGTATGCCGTAACGTGACTGTATGAAGAGCATAATTGACTAGTCATAACATGAAAATTATGACACTTATGCCATCAATGTCATGATTTACATTTCATGGTCTTGCAGCTCTTGCGGAGCTTTCGTTCACGTGACATATTGCAAAACTGGTATGGTATGACATGACTGTATGGCGAACATAAGCGACAGACTTTAACGTGCAAATCATGACATGTATATCATGTAAGTCATCACTACACGCCACATTCATGTTGCGCTCGCGGCCATTTCGCTAGCTTCACATATAGCAAATTTGGTATGACAGGACACGAACCGACGACGAAGGTAAATGACACGTCCAAACATGATAGTCATGACATGATCCCATTTAAGACATGACTACATGCTACGCTCACAGTGCGCTCCCGGCCATTTCACTAGCTTCACATAAACAAAATTTGGTGTCACGTGACGTGAATTTACGACAAAGACATGACTGGTGCAAACCTGATAACTATAATATGCTTGTCATGTAAGAAGATGACAACGTACCACACTCATGACGCACCCGCGGCCGTTTCGCTAGCTTCACATGTACCAAACTTGGTATTACATAACGTATAATAAACGACGAAGATAAATAACACTTCCATACAAGATGAACATGACATGCGTGTCATGTAAAACATGACTACATACGCTCATAGCGCGCTCGCGGGTTTCACTAGCTCCACATACACCAAATTTAGTATCACGTGACGTGAATAGACGGTGAGGTTAAATGACGCGTCCAAATATGACAGTCATGTCATGCATGTCATGTAAAACATGACTACATGCTACGCTCATAGCGTGCTCGCGGCCGTTTCGCTAGCTCCTAATATACCAAATTAGGTATCACGTGACGTGAATCGACGACGAAGGTAAGTGACACACACGTTCAAACATGATAGTGATGACATGCGTGTCATGTAAGAACATGACAACATACCACACTCATGATGCGCTCGCGGCCGTCTCGCTAGCTTCACATATACCAACTTTGGCATTACATGACGTGAATGGAAAACGAACACAAATGCCAGGCACGAACATAATAATAATGATATGGAATTGATGGTGCGGCCTAATTATGTCCGCCGTGTAATGTTGGGCTGATTTTAAAGGGGCATGTCAACGTTTCTCATTCGTGCTTCGAATATCATCGATTTCCACTGTACATGGGATCTGCCAATTTCTATTTATTTATTTATTTATTTATTTAGTCAGTCAGTGAGTCACTCCATTACACACGACACAAGTTTTTTGTATGGTGTGTATGTGTGCCTGTGCTGTGTATGAATGGAAACAGTCTTTTGTGGAACGCGCGATCTCATACCCGACATACTGGGGCAAAGCCTCTATATACTTCGTAGGTACAGGGCTTTAGTCTGAGCTGGTTGTGACTCTGTAGCGGATCTATGCTTGCAGTATGAGATAACAATGTTCCCATCACGAGCCTGGACTTGTTATATTGGACGGTATGAGCCTGCCTCAATCACTGAGTAGGAAGATCATGAACACGTCGCCCAGCACTCAGTGTGACTATGTATTTCCCGGTTACAGCTGCATTGTCGCCTTACAGTGGTAAAATGATTGGTTTCGATGGTGTGTGTGTTCGTGACTGTGTGTGTTTGTGCAGCATCATGTGTGTGGTTTGGCCACGTGTGTATGTCTGTGTCTGTGCAGCAATTATGCATGAGGACATGCTTACGCGTGCGTGTCTGTGTTTGTGCGGGCGTTTGTTTGTTTGTGTCTTTCTACGTGCGTCTGCGTGCATCGGTATTTGTGCATGTGTACGTGCTTGTTTGTGTGATGATTGTACATGCATGCGAGTTTCTGTCTGTCTTTGTTCGTACGTTTGCTGTTTGTGCGTGAAGGGGCATATTTTTGTGACACTTTGTGTAATTGTACATGCGTAAATTTGCGTGTGTTTGTGTCTTTCTGCGTACTTTGGTGTTGTGCGTGTTTGTATCATTGTACATGCTTGTCACAAATCTGACCACCGCCGTGGTGAGTTCTTTTGCTGCCACTGGGTACTGAGGACCGAGGGTTGATTAACGTATACATGTGACAGCTGGTGACCAGATACTGCACCGGCGTGTCCAATCCTTCTTTGGTGTGTTATTCATATAATTCACAGATCGCAATAACTTACAAATCTTGAATAACCTACTGAAAACGAGTGAACCTTAAGCGGACATGGAGGAGCCCAAATGGTGAAAATAAGAACGAAATAGACTTCCTGCTGAGTGCACACTCATGTATCGTGCAGGATGCGGAAGTGCTTGGCATGGTACGATGCAGTGAACTTTTAATGGTAAGGTCTCGAATTCGTCTAGACTTGAAGAACTAACGACAAGAAATGATACACAAGAAGTCAATCAATGAGCTAGCACTGAGAGGGAAAGTGCAGGAATTCCGTCTCGCTTCAGAAGAGGTACTCACTTGTTATCACGGAAATCAGCTTTAGTGTTGGCGCAATGAATGATAATTTGACGAGTATTATTACGAAGGGCGCAGTGGAAGTTGGAGGTATGGTAGTTAGACAGGGCATTAGCAAGCTGTCACAGGATACAAAGAACCTCATTAAAAATGTCAAAACATGCAAGCCTCAAACGAGAAAATAACATGCTCTAAAGAACGAAGGAAGCGTCAAAGCTATGAAGAGAAAACTTGGGATAGGCAAAAACCAGATGCATGCACTAATGGGACAAGGCAGGCAAAGTAACTACTAAAATGAATAGGATAGTTAAAATAGCAGAGGAGTCTTACAGACATACAGTAGCCGTGACCACCACGACCATGCATAATGTACGAATCAGCAGTAACCCAGATGACAACCCACCAGTAATAACAGAAGTCACGAACGCCTTGGGGGGGGGGGGGGGATGCAAAGTGAGGATCAGGTAACACTAGATCTGCTGAAAGACGAAGGACAGATTGTGTTTCAAAAACTAGCCACCCTGCTTACGAATTGTCTCCTGACGGGTAGGGTATCAGAATCTTGAAAGAATGCTAACAACATCTTAATCCATAAGAAAGGGCATGACAAACGCTTCAAGAATTACAGGCCACGCTGATCAGCTTTCTCTCCGTCGTATACAAGCTATTTACAAAGGTGATCGCTAACAAAGTTAAGACAACATTATAATTCAATCAACCAAAGGAACAAGCAGGATTTCGGACAGGTTACTCACCAATAGACCACATTCATACTATCAATCAGGTTATAAAAAAATGCTCCGAATATACTCAACCACAATACAGAACCTTATAGGTTACAAAAAGGCATTTGATTCAGTAGATCGAGATATCAACAGTTATGCAGACACTGCGGAATTAGAACGTCGACGAAACATGTATAAATATACTGTAAGAAATCTACAACGGATTAACTGCCACCATAGCGCTTCATGAAGAAAACGACCAAATACCAATAAAGAAGGGTTCGAGACAAAGGGATACAATGTCCCCAATGCTGTTTACTGCGTGCTTCCATGTGGTTTTCCGAGGCCTAAAACAGGACGAGTTGGGGATAAGAGTTTATGGAGAGTACCTTAGTAATCTGCGCTACACAGATGACATTGCATTGCTGAGTGACTCCGGGAGGAATAGGACTTGATGATTATTGAATTAGATAAGGAGAGCAGAAAGGTAGGTCTTAAAATTATTTTTCAAAAACGAAAGTAATGTACAACAACCTCGAAAGAGAGCAGCGCTTCGATATAGGTAGCAGTGCACTTGAAGTTGTAACAGAGTACATCTCCTTGCGTGTTTACACTACCTCTTACACAACCATCTACTTGCGTGTACATCTACTACGTGCGTGTTTGTGCCGTTGTACATATGCTTGTGTTTGTGCGCGTGATTTTGTCCTTCAAGCGTGCGTTTACGCGTCTTTGTGGTGCTTCGGTGTTTGTTCAAGCATATGTTTGTGTCTTCGTGCGTGTGCATGTTTGTGTCTTCGTGAGTGTTTGCGTTTGCGCGTGCGTGTGTCATGGCACATCCGTGCTTGTGTCTGCATGTGTGTTTGTTTCACATGTGTGCGAAATTTGTGTTTGTGCTTGCGTTGGTGTTTGTGCATGTGTTCTTTGTGTGTACTGGTGTTTGTGGGTGCGTTGGTCTATGTGCATGAATGATGTGTTTGCATCTTTGCGCATGCGTGTGTGTCTGTGCATGTGTGTGTGATTGTATATGCGTGTGTTTTTGTGCACGTGTCTGCTATGTGCATGCTTGTTTGTGTGATAGATCATGCATGCGTGTTTGTGTCATTGTACATGTGTGTGTACAATGACACAAACACGCGTGTGTCTTGCGCGTGTCTGCGCGCGTCAGCGTTGTTGCGTGTGTACAGTGTTCAACTCTCTTGTCTATAACGACGAAGCGTCGCGCGCGGAACAGCACGAGCGACATCTGCAGTCGCAAATACTCCACATCTGATCATGCGCGGCGCCACTGATGTGCCTGCCTCGCAGTTTCCACTCTGCTTTATATCCATGGCCGCGATGACTGCTTTGGCCGTCGAAGCGCTGTTAACATTATAGTAGAACCGAAGGAAAAGAAGAAAAAAAAAAGAAACCAGCAATTTGCCCGATAGACGCCTTTTACACGCTAAACTTATTCTCGCTTCGTGATATATCACAGCGAGAACGGCTCGCTTCGTTTTTTTTCTTTGGTTTTTTTTGCTCGCTTATTGTTTTTCGCTAAATTGTTCAGAGCACTTTCGACGTCCAAAGTGCTCTTCGCATACGCGGTGATCAGCAGGGATCAGTATTGCAAGGCAAGCAGCGCATCACTAGCGCCACGCATGCTCAGGTGGGCCGTCTTTGCGACAGCAATGTAACTCGCACTGTTCCACGCGCAAGAGTTCAGCACTGTACGTTCGTGTCTTTGTGCGTGCATGTGTCTGTGAGCTCGTCAGCGTTTGTGCGTCATTGTATGTGCGTTGTTTTCGCGTGGGTGTGTTCATGCGCGTTTGTGTCACTGTACATGCGTGTGTTTGTGTGCGTTGTGACTGTGCGCGCGTCGATATTTGTGCGCGCGTGTGATTGCACATGCGTGCGTGTATTATTTTATTGTTTAGGAAAATACTGCCCGTCTAGATAAAATAACAGACCTGGGCAGGGTTTGGCGGTACAATACACATGCATAAAGAACAAATATATAGAGCAGATGATACAGCTACTTAGATAATATTGTTACGTGAAGGCACACGCGATACTAGGCGTTTGAAGATATATTTACGTAGCGCCAATGCGCAAGCCAGGATGGAGAACAAGAGCTGTGCCCTACACCAAAATTATGTCGTCTTTCTCGGCGCCTATGTAACCGCTTTAGTGGAACATTGTCTGACAACAATATTTAGCAAATAAGCGTTGATTCATACAGCAAGAAACCGGAAATACAGTCCCCAATCCCATGGCAGAATTACCATGCCAAACGAACCAATACAAAAATCACCCGAAGGTAGGGCACAGCAGATCTTTCTGTATGCGTAAAAAAAAATAAAAAGAAGAAAGTTGAAGCCCCAAGTACCACTTGTAGTACAATTAAAGTCGGGAACATTGCAAAAAAGTACACCCGGGTGTAGTAAGCAAGCGCGACAGATTGAACATCAGGCAACCAGTTCAACTATAAGAAGCGTACATGAAAAAAGCGCACTCTGAAATAACTGACACTATCGGACAGATGGCACGAAAAAATGATTTCAGATTGACACTTTCTGAAATCACATGGTGGCAATTTATTCCACACGTTGATTGTACGGGGAAAAAGGATTACCTGTAAATTTTGGTTCGACAGAGCTGCTCACCAAGGATGAAAGGAACGTGTTTCACTTCACAAAATTGGTTCGATGTATATATGTATTTATGTATTGCTAGCGTGTCATTTTATATGAGGTAGAACAGCCTCATTCTTTCATGGTAATGTCAACATTCCTAGGTTTAAAGTTTAGCACAATCAAAAGAGCGGACGGAGTTGTGTCGCGTCGGTAGGCATTAGATACGAACCGTACATCTTTTCGCTGTATTGATTCAAATTTATCTATGTTAGCTTGTGCTTTCGCCTTTGTCATTGTACATGCGTGCGTGTGTTTTGTCTTTCTGCGTGCTTTTTCGCGTGCGCGGCTGGTTGCGTGTGTTGAGGATATACTGACCGGTGTGTAGGAACAGGTGATTCCGGAGGTTTGTGTGCTTGCTGAATCCGCGGTCGCAGAGGTGGCAGCGGAAGGGCCAGGACCCACTGTGCACGTACGCGTGCGTCTTCAGGTCGCCCGGCGTCGGAAATGACTTGGCACACACGGGACACTTGTGAGGCTTCTCCTGCGTACACAAAGACATGACGCACTATACTCAATGCACATCCTTCGTAAACGCGCTGTTCGTTTGGTCTTATGCCAGTTATAACTTACGGTAACAAAAACATGTACACGAACGAAAGCAAGCAGACGTCCCGGCACTCGACTTTCGTTCGTCCTGTTAACCTTTTACCTATAGTGACTTGCGCATATTTAACTTTACATTGATCTGGGGTGCGATGCAGGATGGCCCAAGCTTCTCGGCAGCTGAGTTTGCTCCGAGCATGCATTGCAGTGGTCATGGCATGAAGACAATGCGGAGCGCGTGATTGATAAAAATGGCTACAAGAACGCGCGTGGTGTTGGAAACGCATGCGGGACATTTGCAGCGGTTATGAAAGAAACACCGCGTGTGAACGCGTCAGCGTCACCACTCAGTCAACACTTTAACAGTGCAGGGACGTCAGCGTGATTTTCCGCGTCATCTTTTTTGCCAATTCAACACGCGCCTCCCACAGGCGTGTTCATGGGCGTATGTCCTAAATCTGTTACTTGGGCGAGTTGGTTCATGATTATTTAGACCGATTTATCAGCGCAAAAAAGACGGAACTTCTAGAAAAGACACACACACACAGCGCTGTACTCCCAACTGATTTACTATTTCAAACGAAGGGCCTCTTTGTAGGCACGCATTGAAACAACAGAAGATAACATAATGAAAAAGGGAGATGAAAACCAAGTGACAACCGCTTGCCAAAAAGATAAAAACAGAAAGCAGTCACGCCATAAGGTACACCTCCAATATGAAAGGAGAAAAAAGAGAAAAAAAAATTGTGTACTTGATTCCAAAACCAACCGGGCCGAACACAGAGAAGCCCAGGCAACCAGACGCGTAAGACGAACAATTTGGACAGGTTCTTTCGTTACGCCTGCCGCATGGAAATTTCTAATCTCGAAGGCAGCAAGGGTGCGCACGCAGCACTCTTGAGCTTTGAGCTACTCGTTTCGCTCCTATCAAATATTGTAGATAAATATAGGGACAAGTGGCCACCAGGGGCACTTGCATCATGGCGGCAACGTGGCTGTGATAGGCAACGTCGAGAGCGTGGTGAAATTAAATGGGAAAAATCGTATAGCCGCGTGGAGATATCACTTTTACTTCTGCATGCGCGTGTGCATAGTCTGCTCGATATACCTGATAAATTAATCGTGGCGCACGACGTGAGTACTGCTTTTTGAAAAAGAGCAAACGTGGTGGGCGTACCCAATCTTCGCTGCGGGCGTCTGTCAATCAAACTGATTGACGCGTGAACTCGGATACAAGCTCGTTGGTTCTGAGAAGGCCCGAGTTCAACTCGGCACTGTGTTGGTGCTGGTGCGACTGTCAAGCGTTTGATGCAGTGAATGCTAAGCGACAGCTCCTTTGAATACAAAATAATTTGGGCAGCTCACACTACTTGTGCAAGGATGGAGCCATGGAGGAGCTTATGATAACCTAACTTCATGCAGCTTTTCAAGTTAGTCGTCTACTCTTGTGCGTGATTTGATTCGAAGTGAAAACCGTATTAGCTCTGTCTCAAGTTTGACTGAACTAATCAACTGATGCTTAATGACCTTTGCACTTAGCTGTGTTGTCTTTATTGAAAAGGCCTCGATTAAAATGCAATTATCCCGGGTGAAATTAGCCGGGCAGTTATCCGTATGAAGCTCTTAACTTCATCCTGATTAGCAGGATACTAATTGTCATTGTATAAGTAAGGACTAATTACCATGGTTTTCCTTATAATGTTCATAATAACGTTGTATTAATTAGCATAGTCTAGTTAACTCCTCAACCAGCATGCATTAGTTAGGTCAGTTATAGCTTTACATGGCTTCATCAGCACGAGGCTTCTTAACATGTGGCGTAAGTATCTGGGCCATACCATGCGTGACTTGGCGTTATTAGCTTGGTCATAGCATGTCCTGGCCTAACTAGTGAAGTATACCGTTCAGCCAAACAGCCAATTAGCCGGCCGCACGTGCTTGGATGCTAGCAGGTGATGACAACAAAGACGACGCGCACCGGCCGAGCAGCGTACTTGAATGTACACGCTCACGCGTGGCCTCGCTAGAATGTACAGACCGTCACGTGGCCTCAGACGTAGCTGCGGTCGCGATGTTGTGAGACGTTCGGCCAGTACAGACCTCCGAGGCCACCGTGCTGATTTTTTAAAAAACAGACTTAGTGCAAGTAATAAAGGCTACAAAATAAATCTTAACACCCCTATCTCTAAAAAATATCATCACGAAACGTTTCTGACACATTTATTGCATGGAAGGAAGGAAAAGAGGAGAAAAAGAACAGCAGGGGAGGTTAACCAGCCTATAGGCAGCCGGTTCGCTACCCTGCGCATGGGAGGGGGATGGGGGAGATGAAAGATAGAGAGCAGAGAGGGAAGAGAGATAAACACAGCACATTCGGCAGCACACGCACGCACGTGGGTGCACATCTGCACTCAATGGAACGACAACCAAATGAAAAAAAAGATGCCTCTGGTTTGAAAACTCCCCTCAACTTTGTCGACCATCCTTGACGCGATGACTGGTTTCATCGCAACCAATGAAACGCAGCGTGCTGAAGGTGAATTTGACTTTTTCGTCCTGTTGGCTCGCTCATAAGGGGGTGTCGCCAGAGCTCGGGAATATCCCGAGTTTCGCGAAACTTGGCCGATCCTGCATAAAGTGCCTGAATCTACGTAGAGCTATTTTTTCTGTCGACACTTTATGTCCGACAATTGTCAGTGAAACTCAGAACGATCACTTTTGCACGCAGACTGTACTGCTACGCGCGCTTTTTAGGGGCGAAGCTTTTTAAAGTGGCACCCGTACGTCCCTCGTAGTAGTGCGTAACCAGTCTTACGCTTTGACCTGCAAGGTGGTGCCGGTGGGAGATTTTTCCTGTGCGTTGTTCAGCAATAAAAAATTCGCAGCGTGCGCGTTAACTAAAAGCGGAATTCTCCTGTCTCTCATTCCCCATTACCAGCCATTGGCATATATATTGAGCACTATCTGACAAGAAAGGGTTGCTACGTTATACTCCCTGGGCGTAACCTCCTTGGTTTTTTTAAAGGTTTAGCTAGCGTTTGGCAGCAGTGCCATGAATACAGTGAACTAGTATATACCGTGAACTCGAGGTTGTTAAAGGTGGGAAGTATACACGAAGCGCAAGCCGTAAGAAAGTGTGCGCGTGCCTCCTCTCGTTCAGTCCTTGGAATGTCCGCTAGATGGCGGTGCTTATATATGGGGAATATATGATGAAAAGGTGCAAGATGGTGGTACTTGGAGTGTTGACTAGATGGACGAACGGACACACAGACAGATGCATGAACGGACGCATGGATGGCTGCACGGACGAATGGACGCATGGACGGACGCACGGACGGTCACACAGACGGACGCATGAATAGACGGATGCTTCGCCCCGCTCTCCATCATTCACGCCGTGGATATGCTGCCATTTTTTTTACTTTTATATGACCGGGTTTCACGTACAAAAACTGTTGCACGTGTTACCCCACACAGCGCAGGCCGAGTTGGAATGCATGTGAAAATTTTCGTGGCTGTTTTTGAATGTTTTGAACGTGCATGAATGGTGCGACCATACAGTTTAATTCATTCTGGCACTAATGTGAGTCCCAGTGATAACATCAATCACGCATGTACGTACAAAGGACGACGTGTCTCACCGGCGATCAGATTATCAATTATCGACGACTGTGCTCGCCGCGATCGTTGTATATACATGCAGCAAGTGAGAGACGCAGCCACATTTTCTTTTTTTGGGGGGGGGAGGGGGGGTTGGGGGCATGGTAAACTTCGTGCGAATGTGCTATAGTTCGGACCAGTTCTTTTTAGCGAAGCAACGCCCACGATGACCTTAAAAACTGAGTGCCTGTTTCGGCTTAAAGAAAGGTGCGCAGCGCTTGTAATTGTTGCCGGGCATGTCTTGTATATATATAAGGTTGAATAAACTCAGGTTGATGTGAATGTTCGCATTTATTGCCTTTCAAGAGTTTTTATTTTAAAAAATTAAGAAATTTGGCTGAACTGTTAAGAGCTACGGTTTTTTGTTTATTTGCCTTTTTGTTTTTCTTATTTCGTGAGCTACTCTCCACTCCAGGAAAGCGCTAAAAAGGGTGGGGTTGCCGGCCGTTTTGAATTCTGCTAGATACCAGTGATATAAATCAATAAAAGTGATAGTTATTTATCCCTCAGTTGCGTTTTAGGTCGCGAATCGCTGCTACGGGGTCTACAGCTACTCGCTGACGCAAAGATCTTGGCACGAAAAAATTTGACGTCAGTGCTCGTTTAAGCTTCCACGAAGGTGCTTCAGGGGAGCTATTCTCGCCATAGAGTCTATATGCAGACTCGTCTGTATATGAACTCTACGATTCCCGTGAATTCGCCGGAGCACGTTCAGTTAGAAAGAAGAAAAGGTGAGTCATGACGCCATCGCACGCTTGACCACGTCGGCACACCGAACCCGCCAGCACACTCCCAGCTTAAAAAGAAACGAAGTGGACAAAATCGAGAGTAACGGGACACTTAAACAAACTTGACAAGTACAGCTGCGTATGAACGTGCTGAGATGTTTGAAGAGCAATGCAGGAATTCCGTACATACTTTTCAGGGGCTGCAGGTGCGCGGCCGCTTTAAACCTATAGTTCATGGACTAACGTGATTAGAGTCCATGCACGGCCTCTGAGATCTGCGTCTAAAAGCGGACCACTGGGGCCAGCATTCGTTGTGGCGAAATGTGTTCCGTCTTTCTTATTTTTGTCGAGAGTCGTGAAAGCTTTGTGGCATCTTAATGATGTTGCGGAAGAAAGACTGGAAACAGGCGGCACACTCCAGCCAATCAGGAAAGGCTGAATTGGGCATGTCCACGAATCGAGCTCCGCAGTAATAGCTCTCCACCCTTCCTAACGACAACGTGCTGCCACAAGCAATAGGGTGCATTTTCTGGCGATGTATTCGTTTTTGCGTGAGTACATAAATGAACCCAGTTGTCTGTAAACCTGACTTCGTCGCGCTAAATGCGCAATTGCACGGGACTAATTCGTCATGGTGACAGTCTGCCTGTCACCAGTAAATAAGGTTTAATGAAAGGCTTGAATGTGTGTTGGTTTGGCTACACAGTTTATTCATATTTTATTGGCAGGTAGCTCAAATGATATGAAGCATTTACAGGCTCCTTCCTGTTCACGAAAATGCATGTAGCAAGTTATGAAACTTTGTGGGTTTTTATTTCATTTTGACTAATGGACTCTTTCTTCGTCGAGGCAATACTGCTGCTCTGACGAAACAAAATCAAGTGTCCGAAACATTGTTTCCAGCGGCATTGCATTCCCTGTTAAACTATTTCTCATCGCTCCATGCCTGCATTGATTACCCTGAACTTCTTTAGTGTTATTCAAGTTATCTAAGAAAATGTGTGCGCCATCGTAACAGACGTGATTGAGCCAAGCACGTCGAGGCCTGCTCGTGACTGTTGATAATTTTCACACTGGTTCGGATATGCTGGGCTCAACGATTACTCAATATGTGCATACTTCACTTGTGAATTAAAGCTGCTTTCTGCTGACTGACACTTTGGCACCACATATGTGCCTCTGTTTTTAGTACTAGACGTGCGATAATCGCCATGCACATTACACAAAAGATTTCAGTTCCACTTGTATTGACCGAGTTTTGTCTTATTGAGAAATCGTTCTTGTTTATATAGTTTGCCCACTCCTTAACACGAAGGAAATTTTTGAAAAAAATTCCTAACTAAATTCGACAAATGGCCGCGTAATCCTATTCAAGAGGGCACGAACAGGTTCCGCTTGAGCCAGATAGGAAAACCAAGAAAGGATGAGGTGCAGAGCAAATGGTATTGATGAACTAGAAGAAAAGTGCGATGGATATGTGTGAGAGGTCATTTGTAACAGTACTGAAAAGTGCGAAGGGTATAGCTAACATGACAGGTATAGGAAGGCTGCAGTCGACGATATATTACGCATTGATGTCACATCGGTGCTATGGTAGGCTAAGTAGGGTTATCAGCCACACCACTATTTGCGAGTCTGTGCCGACTTTTTATGCAGCGTCCAAAGTACCACGCCGGTTCATTTCGGGACAGCTACACGTCCCAGATTTGTTCCGCCCGCCTCTTTCTGTTTCGACGTAGGAGAATGACCCAATAAAGTAAACCCTTACAAGAGTGCATAATTGAGTGTGTTGGTAATATACAACTGGTTACGTAGTATAGAATGCAATAGTTAGTAAGTATAGAATGTAAGATTTTCGCGCATGGTAGTTGTTTTGGGCTTCTTGATTGTTTGGTTGTTTTTCGCATTTCGGGAGTACATATGTGTACGCTCTTCGAAATAAATCTTGTTGCAAGTAAGCGCTCCCTTTCGTCTCTTCCCTTGTCCTGTGAAGAATAATTTTTGTGCTACATGATCAGTTGTACATATTCATTCATCCATCTATCCAACGGACGCGAAGAAATACGAAGTTCACACTAATTACACTCAAGAGGCAATGTTGCGGTGGCTAGAGGAGGCAGCGATGGCCTCCAGCGCCAACCTATAACGTAACTTGCGCATAAAGTGCGCCAACATTTTGAGTGTACATTCTCCAGCAATGAAAGGTGGCTGAGCATGTGCTTCGCGAAAGAGTAACGATATACATAGAGGAGCACAGACGGTTCCCATAAAGCACGAAGCCAACTGAAGTATATCCTTTGAAGAGCGCCGCGCAACAATAAAGCAGCATTGAATTTGTCTGGCATTTGTGCTTCATTGAAGAAAACTGGATTCACTGCCTTCCTGTGTTGATACACGCAGCCCCCGGTCCCGACTTCCTTCACTGAAGAGCTAGTAACGATGTGACTAAGGGTGATGAACACAGATGAATATGGCTCTAAAAGCCTAGGCGGTGATGACGAACGTATCAAGCTGTGTTTTGCAAGATAAATGAAAGTAGCAAAGAGGCATGATGATCAACTTTGGGGTAGCGTTCATTGAGAAAGGCAAATAAAAAAACTAATAGCAACTAAACAGATTAAGAAAGTCATAACAGGGGATACTAAAACAGCGTAGATGAACACAAATATAAACGCGTCAATTCGACCGGGAAATGGTGGCAAGCGCTGCTGGGCTGAGGAAGTTTAAAAGAGCCACAGTGAAACGGCAGGAAGCCTCCGGGAAACACAGATATGCTAAGCGGAGGGGTGAACCTGGAGATGGTGTCGAAAAAAGCGGGATAACTTTTTGAGCTGTAGAGTGGAAGCATTCCATGTGATCAATGGAAAGATTAGAAGAGGGCCCAATGGTTGGCGAAAAAAAAACAACGTACAAAAACTTCTCGACGTCGGTGGCGGTGTCCACCGCGAAGGCCGCGCCCGGTGTTCCTTTCACCGAAAAGAACCAGTCTGAAATTCTAGCAGCTTCGCACGAAATTTATTGACGCAGTCGGCAGGATTTCAAGCCAGAAAAAGCCGCTTTTGTCGCACTTTACAGATAAGGGAGGAGAAGGACAAGAACAACAAGAGAGAAGGCAGGGAGGTTAACCAAGCACATTCCCGGTTTGCTACCCCACTCAGAGGGAATGAATGGGGGAGTACAAAAATGAGAAAGACAGTAAAAAGAAGAGAAAGAGTTTTTACAAAAAAAGTGGGACCTAAAGCTGCCGTGTCAGCTTTCCTAGTAGCGACAGACTTCCCTGCTTTCTGGGACTCTCCTTTTACCCCCCCCCCCCCCTGCATAGACAGCCACATTAGCACCTCTGGTCAAGAGCGGAAAGGCAGTTCCGTGCTGTGCAAGATGCGGGAAAGGCGAGTCCAGCCTGACATGCACCTGCAGATCTCTGGCACTTTTCAACGCATCTTCGCTCAGGGAAAAAGAGGGGCTGAAGGGAACGTCACGCTGGGCACAACCAAAGTCACTATTTTAGGCGCAACTTTAGAGGAGGATGGGGTGCGGGTTCAACAAACCTCTATATACCCTCTTGTATTTGTATAGGCACTGCGCCCTGCTCCCGACTGGGTTGCAGAAATTAGGTGCCTTTGCTCTTCTTCTAACCACTACCACCACCTATTTGTATGACTGCCTGTATGACAAATGCAAAATTGAGTACTTTCAGAGGTGTTCTCAGCTTTTTGCTTTGACTGAGCGTGACTGTTCAGTGAGTGTGAAGTGAGCGTGACTGTGCAACACCTCTGTCTCCAGGATGAAAAAAAAAGAAATATTTGCGCACTCGCTAGAGCTCGCATGTCTGAAAATCGTGCTGCGGTCATTTCGAACATTCTTCGTCTGACCAACAGGAAACTTTTTTGCAGGGTCTCTAAGGCGTAATAGGTTTCGTTACGAATGGGAACTGCTAGTCATGCCTTTGTACCAGGAAGCTATAGAGCTGAAGTGCATAAACACTTCTCAGAAACAATGAATGCTAATTCAAGGAAAACTCGTACTTGTCTTTGCCACTCGCAATCCAATTGCCACTAAGAAGCGTGACCGACCTGAATTCGTGAAGATGGGTGAGTTCTTTTTGATGTATCTAGTGAAAATCAGTGGGAAAAGGACGCCAGAAGGGCCTTTGCATGGTCACAGAGAAACGACGAGGAAAGGCAGGGGAGCAAACCAAGCATGGGCTTGATTGGCTACACAACAAATAGTGGGAGGGTGGAGAGAGAATAGTGGGTAAGTCAAAGAAGAAGAGCGGCAAAAATAAGAGATGGATAATGAGAAGTTAGCGAAAACAAAGCAAAACACGAACTCGTGTCTATAATTCAAGTCAACTTCAGGAGCTCACATGGTAATTACCTACATGAAGAAGTGTTAGAAATGTAAACTAAAGAGTTCGCTTTCTTTTTTGGACACAATATTAGGGACAACTAACAGACGATGATGTCAGAGAAAGTGTACTGGATGGTAATAAGTAGTTGCATCGTTAATTGTAAAGAAGGAAAGGTGGATGAAGAGGTAACTTCCCGGGGGCAGGTACCAAACCTGCCTTCCTGTGCTCTACCAACTGAGCTACAGCTGCGGTCATTTCCCACTATACTTTATAGAGTGCATATGTACATTTAAACGTGGCAGCGTCAGTCAGCGCAGTAGCCATTATGGAAAATGTTGAACCCTCCTTCTTTTGCCTGTTGGTGTCACGTACAGCCTGTGATCTAATTACGAGCTGGCAGCTGACCAATAATCCTCCACATACTATTTGAATGCATTAATTCTGCCAGAAGGAGACCCTCGCTATGAATGAAGAAAATGAGTGTCAGTCAAAAGGTCGTATTTCGCACCAGGACGAAGATTTCGCGGGCCGGGAGGAAGGAGCTTGCTTTCCCTGTAAACCACGCAGTTCCTTACCGAAATGTGTCGCAGTGCGGACAGTGAGTACGTAGAGAGCGCTCACCTTTGAGTGCGTCATGCGATGGTAGTAGAGATTCGAGGATGCCGTGAACCGCTTTCCGCAGACGGGACACTGGTGCGGCTTTTCTCCCGAGTGGATGCGACGGTGCGTGTTCAGGGAGCTGGAGGTGCTGAACGCCTTGCCGCACACGTCGCACGCATGGGGTTTCTCGCCTGCGGGAATCGTTCGTTTCGGTGACGAGCGAATGCAGAGAGATTACAGCAAGCAAGTGGAAATGAGAGATTACTAGTCGCAGGAACCACCAGGATGTGGATAGATAGATAAGTAAGTAAATAAATAAATAAATATGACAATCACTAAGCGAGTTTTGTATTAGGAGAGGTGACGTGCCGTCCATGGTTTTATGTTTATACATCACCTTGTTTTTGAGCGAAAATAGTAAGAAAGAAGTTCCGTTGGGGCCGCACTTTTTATTGCTCGCAACCGTGTGCGATTGTACAGACACTGAAATCGGAGTAAGCATACAGAAGACTCATTATTGTGTTTGATTTATTTGCAGAAATGAGTGACCTCGAGTGCAACTTTAAAAAAAAAAGAGGAAAATGCACATGGTTCATTATGCATTGCTTGCTTGCTTGCTTGAGCATTTAGCTTTAGCACGTACCCACTACAGGGCATTGGTCATCAAACAGACTGTTAATACGAGTGAAAATTTTTAAATTTAGAAAATAAAACTTAATTGACCAGTCGTCTATTGAATATAAAGGTATATAACTATAATGAGTACAATTAAATTGGTTAGAAGTCTAAAGTAACACATTTTTATTTAGACATTCGTTCAACTAATTCTTCCTGTCGGTCAGAATTTGGCAGATGGCAATGCAGACGTTCCTATTGCTGTCGTTCGTAAATGAGGCCCCAGAGAAAAGTATATAGCGTAATTTTTAAATTTTGGAGTAAAATTTCGAAACGCTTTTTTATGGTTATTGAAACGACTGCAAGAATATGAAAAGTTATTGATTTTTTCAGGTTCTTGACAGGAAGAGCATAAAGGAGATGGTGCCTGAGCAGACCTGTATAATTAAAAATTAAGAGGACGAATCCGGCATTGCCTAGCTGGACGCCAAGGTTATCTTTTACTTACTCGATTTGTTTATCGAGTGATAAGGAAATACCAGCGTCCGGCGGATGACGCAAACATCAAAAACTGCAAGCCAAGCACTCCAGCGCTCATTGCAACAAGGGTCTCTTTGTAGTTTCAGAAAACTAAGCACTCTTTCTTTCTCTCTCGCTGAGGAAATAATTACCGGTGTGCGTCCTCATGTGTCGCCTGAGCAGAGACGGCCGGTCGAAGGTCTTCGTGCAGAACTCGCAGCTGAGAATGCACTTTTGCCGCCTCTTCTTCTCCTTGCTTTTCCGCGGGGCCTGGTTAGGCTGCCACACACAAATGCGGCAGTCAGTGCAATAACGAGGATAACAAGACGTGACGCACACCTAATAACGTCACCTTATTTCATCATGAACAAGTTCAACAATCATGCTGACTCAAATGCCGTTTTTCATAAGGAACACCATCTGTTGCTTTACAGCATTTTTTTTTGTTGCCGCAAACCAATAATGGCAAAGATTTAGTTTAGGCTAGTTGGTCATACCTATTTACGCACCTAGACACGAATCAGATGAGTATACCGACAATACTGTATCCAGGGCGGGTGACACTACCAATTTTTTTTATTTGTTACCAAACATATGATATACATATGATATACAGAACCACACCATTGGAGCATGCGTATGACCCCCATCAACAAACCAGCAAAAACTTGAACACAGGCATGATCACGATCTTCTGTAAGGTAGCTTATGAACCTGATCAACCAGAAGAGACATTGCTTTTTCCAGTAACGGTACGGCGGTTCGCTGATGTGTTTTGAGCCTTGTTCACTGATATATAGAGTTTCATTCAGTCGTCTCTCGTTTACTCGTGTCGCAACTAGTTGGCAATGATTCGAGCAGACTGCGAATTTGGCTAGGAACCAGAAATCCACGCACGGCTAAGTGGCTGCCATAACCGTTTTTCGCATAAGTGTGGATACCCGTCCTGTCTGCACTTTTTTTGTCCTGCCAAACATTGTGCTTAGATGTTCGCGTAAGCATACATTACATTGGGAGGTGAAAAGGGAAGCTAATAAATAAAGCACACACACGAAAGGAAGCATTCAGATTGGAAGAGTCGTTTACATCGACCACGCGAACCTACGGGGAACTCAATAGATCCTTCATCCTCTCCTGTATCCTGTCCTCAGTGCTTTATCAACGACACGCCCTCTTCTATAGAAAACAAGCATAGTTCAGTAAACTTTGTTGCTCGTAAAAGAGATACTGAACAAAAATTTTGCCGACAAGATTATCAGCCAAATTGAAAGATTGGATCCTCAAATCGATAGAGACAACTTTCCAAGCAGAAAGTACAGGTAAAATAACAATTTAATGTGTTTTTCATGAACTGCCGCTTCCAGAGGCTGTGCCGTGAATTAGAGAAGGTGACGTTTGGTGACGTCACACACAAGCGAGACGGGCCGTCGCCCACATCTCTTGACTCGCTCAACTCCCACTTCGGTTCCCAAAAGCGGCATGAACAGCAACAGCGGCGAAATCAGATGCATCCGGCGGGGACAAAGCACCAGCGCATTTGTGGAAGGAAAAAGATAGCATGAAAGTAGAGGCGGAGAAAAGAAAGAGGAGTACATGAACCAATGCATCTTACAGCATGCTCCTCTGTGAGTGTGACGTCATGGCTCGCGCTCGCGAGCAACCGCCGCGCGCTGACAATCCATCAAAAATACAACCAACTGTCCGAATATACGGGAAATAAACTGTATTTATCGAAACAGGGCCAGCTTTCCAGTCGCAATTCGAAGTTTCACCAGTTTTTCCAATTCTTGTTCAGTATCCCTTTAAGTCGGTTGACTTGTGCGCATTACGTGTTAGCACGAACAGCAAGACAAAGTTTGTGGGAAAGAAAAACCTTCCTCTTTTTTTCTTCTTTTTTTTTTGCGCATCTTTGTTTCACTGCTTGCGCGAACACGTATTTCTTTCGAAGCCAAATATATGATGGCATACTTCTCATTGGTTTATTTGAGTTTTGTAAAAAAGGGGGGGTGGGGAGAGCGCTAAGAAAAGAACAATCATGGAAAACAAACGTGTCTTGGTTCAGCAAAGGATGAGATAACATGTGAATGCGGTACAACATATCTTTGGCGTTAGCTGCTGGTAAAGAGCTATCTGTTGCTAAGGGAGGACGCTGAGGAGGGCTTTTGGCAGTCTTTGTAAATTACTCTTCGAAAACGCGGGAACTTCCAAGTCACCTTGTATACTTGAAAGGGCAAACGGATGAGTCCATCAGGTGCGTGACACATTTATCATTGGTAGTCAAGATATTTCGAAGCGGCGCCGCGGCCGTCCCGTATATGTAGTACCTGAATGTTCTCGTTATTCGCCTCCGACGTAGACGGTGACGAAGAAGAGCAGGTGGACGTACAGGAGACGGAGGCCGGCGTTCGTAGAATGCCTGAAGACGACGACGACGTCGACGACGACGCGCGACACGAGCTCGAAGACGCTGATGACGCCGAAGTCGACGTTGACGGCGACAGCAGGCTCTGAGACAGGTCCAGCGGGTAGTCTGCGTGAGGACTGAACGTGTGAGTCAGAGGGCTCTCTTGCAGGGGCTATCGTTAAAATGGACAATGAACCACTTTAGAACGATTGATGATTCTCTCAGGACTCTATCGTCATTAATTTCACCACTATACGTTAATTGCCAAAGGAAGAAACTAAGGTCGGACTCTCACGTTTGAATTTCATGCCGGAAATGACGTCAATAATGTCAAGGTGTTTTTGCGATTTTTACCACATTGGTTTAGCAAAATTTTCTTGAACTTAATACTCGTAAGTAAAATTTCTATTCGTTGATGGCTTGTGTCCCTCAGAACACACCACAAATATTTTTTTTGCGACAAATCATTACGTAGGCCCTAGCAGACACCGTCAAAATCTACGTGAGCAAAGTACATGAGCCCTGACTTCGCCATTCAAAGTAACTGTAGTACCGTTTTTTTAATCATCAAAATCTACTATACGACACCACAGGATATAGTGCAAGAAAAAGGTGGCATCGCCAGATGCTTTTGATCTTGCGTGTTTTCTCGCTTCTATACCAAGCACCTTCTCGCAGGAAAAGTGGCCATTTCGATGTATACTTACTAATACGAATAAAAAATATTATTTGTTTATTTTTAGTGTCCATTCAATATCTGGAAAAAAAAGAAAACTTACCGATTCCATGAAAATATAAGACTTTATTGAATGCTCCCACTTTTGTCCCTGTGCCGTAATTCCATTCTGGGTTTCTAGCGTACCTTCGGTGATTTTTTAATTTATTTTTTGTCCAATACTACAGACACGTAAGGTCCAAGCCAAAATGTGACAAATAGGTACATAGACAGTAAATATACCTGGCAAAAGAAAAAATATATATAATAATACAGAATTACTGCATTTTAATATAAACCTACACATAGTTTGTCTCTCTGCCTCTTCATCGTGTTTGCTGCAAATAATTCATCCAAATACTTGAAAATGCATAAGTACATATTCCCGCAAACATGCCACAGTTTATTTAGTGAAATAGTCAATTGCCATTTGTTCAATATTGTATTATCCAAACGTGGTTACGCATTCGCGCTTCTGCACCTTAATTTCTGTCCATGATGAGTGCAGGTAGGACTCGCGATAAAATGTTAATTTAGAACACAATGCTGTGCGCGACCTCCGCGAAAAGCTACATGACACGGTGATTAGTCTGTCATGCATTCGCTTATCCTGATATCCACAACTGAAAATCCGCCACAATTTATAACGCTGGCTACTTATACTGCACATTAAGTTTTTAGTGGTTCAGTAGAAATATTTAGGAAACGGATTTTGTGTAGCGTGCGCAACATGCCATGCATAGATAGCTTCATGCACCACATTTCTTTCGTAATGGTACGATACGATTATCATGGAGTCTTTTATTGATGGGCAGCAAAGAGCGTGACGCTAGCGATTCTAGATGCCAGCTTTATCACGAGTAATTTAACGCTGTTCCTTCACTCCGGCGTTGTCCCCGCATCCTGCGCTAAATCCGAGCTATCCAGCATTTATAAACATGCATGGCGTAATATAGGGTGACGCGGGTTCACTTCTAGATCGCATTGAATTTACGTGCAATACATATGGCTGTGAGCACTGCAAAACTAATCCTACATTTTCTTTTCAGAATTTTTGTATTTGTAAGGATGAGAGCCTTCGCAATCGCTCGAAGACAGATTTCCTCGTCCCTTTTCACCCACAGAGATCATGAGCATAATGCGGAAGTGACGTATCTATATGCCATACCTTAAACAACTTACTTTACTTTCTCTCTTCTTCTTCTTTTTCTCTTTGAGAAATGTGCGCACACTTACTGTACATGATGCGCGAGTATCGCCTAACGTTCTTATTGCAACGCCAACCAACTCTGGGCAGTGAACAGAGCCGAAGAGTTGGCGCTCAGACGCTGCTTTCATGAGAAGTACAATTTATCTCAGTAATGCGTCACCTCTCTTTCTCCAATGAAGGTTAATATAGAATGAAATGCCCATTGAGCAACACTATGAGGTCAACAAAAAAGTGCTTCTGAACCGTGTAACCTTGCAGCGTTCTCTGAAGTAGGCGGCGTTCCAGTCCGATGGCCGCCTTGGGCGTCGAGGTGGTGAGGATTCGGCGCACCTGTTCGGCGGAGTCGTCGAAGTAGGCCACCAGTTCGGTGTTCGGCTGCACGGGCCTCAGCACGCGGTACAGCACGGGCGCCTGCCTCTGCTGCGGCGAGGTGCGAGCGGCCACCAGGTTGACGCGAGGCGACAGCCGCTTGGCGACCCGCACGAAACGCACCCAGTTGCAGTGGCGAACCTGGCGGTCCTCCACCTCGCGGATCTCGTCGTAGCAGCCCAGCGAGTGGCGAACCTGCACGTGACGCACTCGTGAGACTCGGGCCCGCATTCGCAAACCATGATTTGATTTGTGGGGTTTAACGTCCCAAAGCCACCATATGACTATGAGAGACGCCGTAGTGGAGGGATTCGGAAATTTCGACCACCTGGGGTTCTTCAACGTGCAACCAAAGCTGGGCACACGGGCCTACAACATTTCCGCCTCCATCGGAAATGCAGCCGCCGCAGCCGGGATTCCATCCCGCGACCGGCGGGTCAGCAGCCGAGTACCTTAGCCACTAGACCACCACGGCGGGGCCGCATTCACAAAACAACCTGAACCTTACCTCAACGTTATCTCGCGTTTTTTTATATCGATTTGAATTAAGCCTTTGTTGCGCTCGATGAACAAAGTACGCCCGTATGCATGAATTCTGTTACCATTTCTATGCCCTCATAACACACGTAGAGAGTACAGGAACTTGAGGAAAACGTGAGGTAAGGCCAATGATGGTTTGTGAATACGGGCCTCAGTGGAGTGCGCGGGGCCACTCTGCTCATCATCTATACATTCGGATTTTCAACGCAAATTTTTAATGTTCGGTATCATGGCTGTGCTTTTCATTTTTTTCGTGATAACAGCGGCCCTCTGATATTGCATTGACAAAGCTGTCTTGCATAGGACATCAGGAAGGAGCTTTTAATTGTTCCGGAAATCCTCGATGGCAGTTTTGATTGCAAGTAAGTTTAGGCTAATAATTGTAAAAGAACTTGTTGTTGGGTTAGTTAGTATAATATTTAAAAAAATTTTTGTGAGCGCAAACGCATGACACATTCATGCACACAGACACCCAGGCATCAAACCCGCACATCGCTGTGCATGTTTGATGCCTGGGTGTGTGTGCGCGCGTGAATGCGTCGTGTGTTTGCGCTCACAATATTTTTTTTCAGTGAGGCTAATCTGCTTAAATAATGACAACGACGTGGTAGAAACAGCTATGTGCGTTGAAAAAGGACGAACCTGCATGCATGTGGTGCTTTATATGTATGTAATTAAGGTATATGTAAGTGTAAGTGTATATATGTATGTATATATAAAGAGGGAACGCACGTGATGTGTTCTCCCTTCTCGTCCTTGTGTTTCATTGCGATAGAGATTACCCAAATGTCTTAGAAACAGGGCCGCATTTCTCCCTTGCTCAAAATTTTCATGCTGATCAGTGTACTTGTAAACCGCATGTTATCGCAAATCAGTCATGTTGCAGCCGAACAACTAATACGCGCTTTTTATTATCAGTTTTTAAGAATAACTATCCTTTTTGTCACTTCACCTTCCTGGAACGTTTGCTGCTCTGTACTTGGAGTACTGGTTAAGCATTAGGAAGTCGAGTTTGAGGCTCTGAACTAATGGAGTTTGAAAGACTGATATAAATAATAATAATAATAATAATAATAATAATAATAATAATAATAATAATAATAATAATAATAATAATAATAATAATAATAATAATAATAATAATAATATCTGGCATTTAACGTCCCAAAGCCGCGATACGATAATAAGGAATATCTTAGTGGTGGGTAGGCTAATTGACCATTTGCAGAAATGTGCAAGGTGGCTTTCTGGCAAAGCTGTTTCGGTGGAATTGTAGGCACCCTAGAAGTGGTTAGAAGAGAAAGAAGGCGCTTAATTTCTGCAGCCTGGCAGGGAGCACGGCGCACCTCCTTAAAAAAAAGAAAAGCTGTTTTTTTATCAGAAGGTCAGGTTCACAGACTGCTTTTCTCACTCACTGTGTCCCCCCCCCCCCCCCTCTTTTTTTCACGAACGACAGGCGCCTCGCCCTTCATGCGATTTCAGGGTTCTTTCGAGGTGGAACAACTGAGGGAAAAAGTCGTCTTGTCGCACTCGCGTGCCTTCACTGGAATAGGAGCAGCACAGTGGGCGAGAAAAGCATTCCAGACATAAGAGTTTTTTTTTTCTTATGTTGGTTGGAAAACATCCTTGCTGCAAAGGCGTTTTGCAGATCTTTGCAAATGGTCATCAAGTGTTTTTTAACGTGCCTTGACTTCACACAGTACCCTCAGCTATAGTAAACCAGATAGATGAGCCTGTACCATTTCGCCTCCATCAAAATGCGAACGCGGAGTCGTGGATCGCACTTGCGCCCATTGGGATCAGCAGCCCAGCAACGTGACCACCTCGGCGGCCCACAGGCAGAGCACGAAAAGGTTGGCTGCCAGAAATACCGCGGTTCTTTTTGGAGCTCACTGTAGCAGGTTGCACTTCGTATGCAGGTGGCATGTGTTCAATGGCAGCAAAAGGAAAACAAAATGGCTGAGGCTGACCTGTGACTAAATTACGGCCACCTTGATCGGCGCGCGCGCGCCGATAATCGAGGTGACCGTGACCAGACAGGCATGTCTTTGTAAACGAACGTCCGGTATGGGACCACAGATATTCCGAGCGTGACCACCACGATGAACAAAACATGATTCCCTCTCCCTTTTGTTCGAGCATGGTTGCATTTTAGGTCGAAGCTATGCTGCGTTGTTCAGCAGTGTATATCCACACTCTTTCTTTACACTCCGCCATCGATCCGCAGGTGCGTGGTTTTCGTGTTTCGAGAGCGCGCAAAGCTCACACGTGGTTTCAAAGATCCATCGTATATTTTTAGTTTCTTCGCCACGGTGGTCTGGAAACTCGACGATGGATCTCTGAAACCACGCGTGATATTTTTTTTAAACTAGGCTCGCCATTAGTATCCATATTTTGTGACGTTGAACAACTTTGTCATGTAAACTACCACCATAACATAATGATAAAAGTTATTTTTTGTAAATTAAATCTAAAGTAAATGTGAAGAAATAAAAGTGGGTAAAAAGATAACTTGTCGGGGGCAGGAACCAAACTTGCGACCTTCGAATAATGCGTTCGATTCGGCTCGCAGGTTCGGTTTCTACCTGCGGCAAGTTATCCCTTCACGCTCTTTTCTTTCTTCGCATTTACTTTACAATTAGGTTTAATAACTTCTATACTTTTTAAACGGGTACTCGGCTCTTATCGAAAAAGCTAACCTTAACGTTGACGCGATGAATGATAGTCTGACGAGCGTCCTTACGGAGTGTGCTGTGGAAGTTGGAGGTACGGTAGTTAGACAGGACACCGGCAAGCCGTCCCATGAAACGAAGAATCTCATTGCGAAGCGTCAAAGCAAACAAGTCTCAAGTACAACAGACAAAATAGAGTTGGTAGAGCTTTCGAAGTTGATGAATAAGCGTAAGGTATCCGATGTAAGAAGATATAACATGGAGAGAATTGAACATGCTCTGACAAACGGAGGAAGCGTCAAAGCAGTGAACTCGGAATAGGCGAAAATCGGATGTATGCACTAAGGGACAAAGAAGGCAAAATAAGTACCAATATGAATAGGATAGTTATAATAGCGGAGGATTTTTACAGAGATCTGTACAGTAGCCGGGACAACCACGACCTTAATGCTATAACAACCAGCAGTAACCCAGATGACGCCCCGCTAGAAATAATAGAAGTCAGAAAAACCTTGCATGCAAAGAGGCAAAGCTGCTGGTGAGAATCAGGTAAAATCAGATGTGCTGAAAGATGGAGGACAGATTGTATTAAAAATACATAGGATAGGAGATGACAAGGACTTGAAGAATTACAGGCTGATCAGCTAGCTCTCCGTGGTATACAAGCTATTTACAAAGGTAATTGATAACAAAGAAAACATTGCAATTCAATCAACCAAAGGAACAAGCAGGATTAACAATCGACCACATTCATACTTTCAATCAGGTAATAGAGAAATACTTAGAATATAGCCAACCACTATACATAACCTTCATAGATTACGAGAAGGCGTTCGATTTAGTAGAAATATCAGCCGTCATGCAGACACTGCGGAATCAGGGCGTAGATGAAGTATATATAAACATTCTGGAAGAAATCTACAGGGGATCAACTGCTACCATAGCTCATCATAAAGAAAGCAACGGAATACCAATCAAGAAGGGTGTAAGGCAGGGGGATACAATCTCCCCGATGCTATTAACGGCGTGCTTACAGAAGGCTTTCAGATGCCTAGAATGAGAACAGTTAGGGATAAAAGTTAATGGAGAGTACCTTAGTAACCTGCGCTTCGCCAATGACATTGCATTGCTGAGTAACTCAGGGGACGAATCGCAACTCATGATTACGGAGTTAGACAAGGAGAGCAGAAAGGTATAGGTCTTAAAATTAATTTGCAGGAAGCGAAAGTAACGTCCAACAACCTCGGAAGAGAGCACCGCAACGAGATAGTTAATAGTGTACTTGAAGTTGTAAAAGACTATGTCTACTTAGGACAGGTAATAACCGCCGAGCCTAACCACGAGATTGAAGTAACTAGAAGAATAAGAATGGGGTGGAGCACATTTGGCAAGCACTCTCAAATCATGACAGGTAGATTGCCACTGTCCCTCAAGAGGAAGGTATATAACAGCTGCATCTTGCCAGTACTTAGCTACGTAGTAGAAACCTGGAGACTTACAAAGAGGGTTCACCTTAAATTGAAGACTACGCCGCGATCAATGAAAAAAATGGTAGGTGTAACCTTAAGAGACAAGAAGAGAGCAAAGTGGATTAGAAAACAAACCGAGGTTAAGGATATTGTAGTTGACATCAAGAAGAGGAAATGGACATGGGCCGGGCATGTAGCACGTAGGCAGAATGACCGCTGGTCATTAAGGGTAACTAACTGGATTTCCAGAGAAGGCAAGCGGGTTAGGGAAAGACAGAAGGTTAGGTGGGCAGACGAGATTAAGAAGTTTGCGGGTATAAACTGGCAGCAGCAAGCACAAGACCGAGTTGACTGGCGTACCATGGGAGAGGCATCTGTCCTGCAGTGGATGTTGTCAGGCTGATGATGATGTAGATGATACTTTTTTAGCATCATTGCCTCTTAGATCTCACTAATATTGTGTCAAAACACGGGAGAACGATCCCTTGAGTGTACACTGTTTGCCTTAATTCAT